TCTTTGAAGGTATTTCTTTCAAAAGTATAATATCCTGAGCAGCAATCTGAAACCTCTGCTGGTAAAAGGCCTGTATAATTTCATTTCGACGTGCTTTTCTAGAAAAATAAACAACAACATCCCTGGGCTGTTTTCTCTGACGTGCGACCCATGAATTGACTCTAAATATTTTTTCAATCTCTCCATAGATAATTTCAGGATCGCAGTCTAAGGCCAACGCTAGGGCAGCTGTTACCTCTTCTCTCAGTTTCTCCTGTGCGTTCTCCTGAAGGCCTCTGATTCTTATTGCATATTCCATCTCTCTGAATTGTGCCATTACAATATCATTTTGAGCAATCTCTATACTTTCTTCTACTTTCTCCATTCTCTCCTCCACCCCTTCCATTTTTTCTCCCACTTCCTCCACACGGTTCTCTATACGATCCATATGAAAAGCAAAGCCCTGAAAGATTTGGGACATATTCTCACACAATTCATCATTCTTTTTAGCAAGCAGCTCTTCTGTCTCCACTCTCACTTGTTGTACAATTTGTTTAGACATCTGCATCTGCATCAAATAATCCTGCAGATCCTTTAAAGTAATATAAGGTGGTGAGGAGGGTGGAGGAGTTTTAGCTCTCTGTTGCGTAGTCTGTACAGCTGGAGAGGAAACAGCTGACTTAGGTGCTGCAGGGGCTACACCTCGTTTAGAAGCCATTCTTAAGTTTAAAAAGAGTCTTGATATACAGTCCAAAACAGTTAAAAATCAAACAGATTTTCCTTTAATTTTTCCTTAATTTTTGGAGATTTTTCCTTAATTTTTGAAGATTTTTTTACAGTTTTAACAATATAACAATCCACAACCGGAAGGAAAGTAAAAGTGTCTCTTTAGAACAAAGAAGCGGCAAGCCGCAGCCATTTTTTTTTCTCCAGAAAGTAACTTTAGATTTTCAGTCATTTGAGAAGAGTACTTTAATCTCTGAGTCAAAGTTTTAAGTTCCTTATAAAAAGTCCAGATTTCCTAGTTAGCTCCATCTGTTAAAAGTACTCACAATTAACTTCAGAAAAAGCATCAGAGGTGGAGACGGCGTCTGGCTTCGCTGATAGTGAAGACGTCCCGATCTGCGGAGAAACTCTGAGCTCCGGAGGAGTTCTCACCTTCGCCTCGCTGGGAGCACCCAGGGAGGCTAGGGAACTCGACTCCTACTCACGAGTAAGCTCTCCTTCTCTCCTTTGCCCGGAGAGAAGTTTCAAATCGCCAAACAGCTGATACGCGCTGTTTCGGCGATTCTTACGCAGTCCTGGACNGAAGTCGGTGAAGGCTATTTTTGATAAAAATCAATAGTGTCCACCTCCACTATAGAGAATTGTTTTCACCACCCAGCTGTTTCAAGTTCTTATCTTTTTTGATAGTGCCAAAGCCAAATCTTAGTCTCACAAGTCTCCCAGTCAAAAAGAAATTCACTTGCTGTACCAAACTTCGCCACAAGATGTCCCCAGTAACATGTAAAATCTTTCTCAAACTCAAGTTAGGCTTTTATCCAGTTAGGCTTTTATCCAGTTTTCCCAGCTTAACAGATAAGTAAAGTAATAAGTCCCTGTAAGAATAGGAACCTTTTGGGGCCCCAAATATCCAAAAATTACAAGTCCAATTATTTAGTCGTTTAGATTAGTTGTTCTTTTCCCCCCCATAGCTTTATGTTCCCAGAGTAGGCAGAAGCCGCCAAGTTAGAAAGGAGGAAAAAATTTCCACAGGTTTTTACAGGAAGGTAGTTGGGATGTAAGAAAGGTAAGGTAAGATCTCACCCAATTCCTCCGCGTTGGTTTCGTTGCGCTTGCTAGTGCTTTTGGCTTTTGGCTGGTAGGGCTTAGTGATCGGCCATGTTAATAGCCAATCTTTTCTTCGTTGGTTCAAAGGAACTGCCTCGGATCAAATGGAAGGGCTACCGCCCTTCCACGATCTAGCAAGGGTCCTCCTCAGTGGTGGTCGCCCCTCCAGGGCAACTTTCGACCCTTTCCACGGTCTTCCAACGAAGGGAAACCGGGCGGCAGAGAGAGCACTCTCCCTGTGCGTCCGCTGGCGCCACGATCCGGAACCGGAAGCATTGCATTGATTGCATTGCTTTTAATATGTAGAAGAGCAAACATATCTCTTGCAATCCCTTCCTCTCCAATAGCTGTAGAAGGGGGGGGGAATAGAAAAAAACCATAGGTCATCCCTAGGCACAGGACAACATGTACTGACTGTAATAGTGATCATATGGCTGAAGTTGTAAATGATTGTAAATTAGTTGTAAAGTTATTTTTTCAGAAACATCAGAACTTTGAATAGCTGTTAACTAAGTGGTAAGTAAGAAAGGACTACCTGTACTTTGGATTATATAATGTCTCATTGCTATGAGGTAGAGTATGGAAGTGCAAAACAATTGAAACTGAGTAGAGTCCAAACTTCTGGATAAAGGTAGAGTAAAGCATAGAGCAGCATTTTAAATTTAAATCTCTCATTTAAGTTCCAGACACTGTTAAATTTGAAAGCAGTGTTTTGCACACTAGAGACAGTGTTCCCCTACCACAAACTTCTAGTAGTCACAATTTATATAGCATAATAACTTATCCTTTATTGTGTGACTGTCTTGTTTGTAATTTCATGAAAAGTCTCAAATTTGTACATGTATTTGTGTATAATTAATGCAACTCTTTTATCTATTACTTTTCAGTGGGTATTTGCAAGCTTGAAATTATATTGAAAGGATATCTAATGTTAATTTTTACCACAGTTCTTGACTTCCTATTGAATCCCTAGAGATGCATGAAAGACGTCTTGATTTTTGTTTCAGAATGCAGGTCTTCCAGTCAAAACAAGGAAAGTTGTTTCCGCAAGCCTCTTCGTGTTACCACTTTGGATAGCAATGTGAGTAAAAATGGACATGTTGAATTTCGTCAGCCCCTGGCTTCTTTCAGGTGAGTTTGATTAGTTTTGTCATTTTACTATTGCAGGGATTATAGAAGTAAATTGTAAGCATAATTATTTACTGTTTTTGAAGAACTTAACATACATTGATATGATTTCTGTTTCACCTTAAAGAGATTTCATGAAATAGAGCTCTTGCTTGTGTTATTGATTGCAGTTTAGGAGGGAAGACAATGTTTTTACCAAGTTACCATGATACTAGTTGCATTCTAAAGACAGTAATCACCTCTATTCTAAGAGTGAGGGAAAGGCGTTAATGGTTCTTGGGAGAGGAAAAATATACTAAGTGAGGAAATTATCCTACTTGAACTTTTTGATGCTATTTTATCCTGGAGAAGAATACAGTTCATGAAATAAGGTCCCCCCCCGTATCATATCCCCTGCCTTTCTATAGGAAAGACTAGAGTGCTTTCCCCACTCCTCTGGTTTGGTGGAAGCAAGTACCATGTATCACATTCCCTCTATGTTCTTATGGGAAAGAGAGGGAGCATTCTTGTTTTAACTGATTATTTGGGAAAAGAGATGCGCTTAGTAGGTCTACATGAACTGCAATATCATGACTATTAAGGAAGTTACTATGCTGTTTCATGCTGTGGACCTAGAAAGGTTACTGTAGGGGACTTTTTGGTTTGGCTTTTTATAGCCAAGATGCTTTGGATACCTGATAGTGAAAATGCCAATCCATGTTTCTGTGTTTGTGAAATCTTGGAACCGGAGAGGAAAAAAGAATTATTATCTTGCTTAGAATTATAGTTTCAAAATAAAAAGGCCTGGATGACAAGACATTCTCAATGACAGGAGGAAAAAGTTTTTCAAATTGCTTATTTCTTTCTCTCAAGTTCAAAGTTGTTTTTGTTTTATGACAAGCATAGGTTTATTAGAGTTCTTGTTTTTATTTTAACGTTTAATGTGCTTCTGTTAGAGATTCTCAGTGGTCACCATCTTGCAAACCCTCTTGCCAATTGGAGGCCAAACGTCTGAAGTATAAAGAAGCAGGGAATAAAGCAGAAGGAATTGGTATGATCTATGATAAAGGAGAACCAGATTTGCATGGCAGAGATTTGAAAAGCTCATCTTCTACAGATGAAACTGTTGTTCGCTATTTGAATGACCATCCAGCAATTAATGCTTTGCAAAGTTCAGATGTGATGAATCCTACAAAATTAGAAGAAGAAAAAAGTGAAGAATCCAGAGGAGATGAGTATACAAAAATATCTCCAAGTTCAATAATCCAAAATGAACTAAAAGAATTACAATTGGTAGAATCTTCTACTTCTTCTGCCAGTACCTCAAGTGCCCATAGATTAGATATTTTAAAGCAGCATCAGCATGATGATAAACTGGAAAAACTGAAAGAACGAATTAGAAAGCAATGGGAGTGTCCAGAAGAACTGACTACCAGAGGACATGATCCTGAGTATTCTGATCATCCTATAACTGTTGCAGCTCCTGAAAATATAGTGACTCCTAAAGTCAGAAAAGTGGCAACAGCACCAATGGCTCCCTCCTATAAAGGTACATAGTTTCTAAATAAAATGTATATATGGGGAAAAAATCTCTGCGTTGTGTAATAAAGACTAAGATTTCCACTGTTCCTTTCTTGGAATCGATTAAAAACCCACCTAACATTATTTCAAAATTAAAGTTTTTAATTTTTTTTCACCTTCCAAACTTTAATCTGTTGTCTATCATCGTATATTTTCTCCTCTTTTTTGTCAATAGTATATTGTATATTGTTGAATTATATGTAGGGTTTTTTATGTGCACTATTTCACCTAGAAAACTTTTTTTCGGAATTGGTAGCTGAACATGGAACTGGTAACAAATAATTGGCTACAATGGACCACAGATGTATAATATAATGGTTGTATTCTAATGGTTTTGTAAAGATTTGTTAATTGTGTGCATAAGGATTGGGAATTTATACTTCATTTTGTCTTTTATCTTTGTTTTTAATATTGAATGTGTTTAGATAGAAACTTCTCAGCTACTTTCATGTAGTAGAGACTTGAAATCTAAATAGCTTTGTTTTTGATAACCAATATATCAGATGCCCAAGATAAAACTAACTTTCTCAATAGAACGTCATGAGTATTTTAATCTGCTAAAGTTAAGTGTACTCTTCTTTTAGGTTTCAATCCATCAGAAGCCAAGATTCGTACTCCTGATGGAAAGGTATGGTGTGAAGAGGAATTTCTGAACCTCAGTAGAGAGTTATGTCGAGATTTAGAATTCCAGTTGGCAGGTAAATAGCCAGAGTAATTTTGTAAGTATTTACATGAAAAGCAGTAGTATTATATATATAAACTACTTAACCCATGAGCCTGTAATTAATATTTTGAAGTCCTGTTTCTCAGAATTCCTATAAATTTAAAGAAAAAAAATCTTTAACTTAATTCATACCTTGTTTCAATGGGTTCTGATTTGAAAATTAACAATAGTTGCTATAATATTCTCCTGTAGTTTTGATGGGAGTTTCCTTGATGCATTAATGGTTCTTCAACACATTTTTCAGAAGAGGATTTACCTGCAATAAAGATACCTACTGAAAGAAAAGAGAAAAAAGGACACAAACCAGTGCGGAAAACCCAGAAGATTGCACAACTCTCAAGTCCTTATTTTAAATCAGGTGCATTTTATTGTAATTTTTTGTTTAAATATTGTGAGCCACCAAGAGTCATTGACAATCAGGTGGCATACAAGTTTTATCATTCATGATTGATTGACTGACTGACTGACAATAATCAGTGTTGGCTTATACTTATCAAATAATGTACATGAGAGCTGCTTCCATGTGTCTGAGGACTACAGTCATATTCTCTCACTATCCTCATGCTTGCTTACTGTTTCCTCAAATATGATATATTAATAGCATGTGTCTTGTTAACCAAGAATTGCAGATACATGACCCTATGCTAAGGTGAAGATCTTAAGTTTCACTGCAAGAGTTCTGTAGATTTTCTCAGTATTGCTCTCTGTAGAATACATTGAAGGATATAAAGAGAGACTAAGCAAAGTAAGCAAAGTTTAAAGGCAAGGATAGCTAGCTTTAATTTAAGAATGCAAAAAATTATTATTATTATTAAATTTAAAATACAAAGATAAAAAATTAATGCTAACAAAAAAATGCAAAAAAAAGGGAGAAGGGAAAAAAATAAAAAAGTTACACAAGAAAATATTTCTCCCTTCATCAAGATAAGCACAAACAATTTCAGCAAGTTATCACCTTTTAGCCAAACGCTTGCAAACAATTTCAGCCAAAAATCTGTTTATCCCATATCTCATCTTTTATCTATTACTTGCTAATAAAGCCTTGTTATATGGTCTCCTCATGGGGCCCACTGTAAGGAGCACTTGTTCTAGAGAGGGGTTTGAGGAGCTGATCCATTCATTGGCTCCTCTTTCTGCCATGGTCATCAGCTCTGCCCTCTGTGGAGCCACATTCCGTCCACTACTGCTTCCCCGGAAGTTGATAACATTAGTTCAGTAAAAACCCATGAAGAAGGAACTCTGGCAGAATAGTAAAAGAGTGCTACTACCCAAGTAATTTCATGTGGTGATGTCGTTCTATGAAAGGGTGAGACAGCAGTGCATTTCCTTTTCTTGCCACTTCTATCTATGTATTTGCCTTAAAATATAGAGCACTGGTGTGTTTTTCAATAAGAAATGTTAAAGATGTTTTGTGTCTTTTTTTCTTGGTTTAGATGGTGCCAACACAATAAGTACAACATCCTGGCGGGATGGACAAAAACTAGCAAAGAAAATACTGGGTCCAGTGCCTAAACTAGAGCAGCCAAACACTCAGATATTGTCTAGTGACAGGAGTGAAAAAGATAAATCTATTAAATCTGGTAAGTTAAATATATCTGTCTGTCTGTCTGTCTCTCTCTGTGTGTGTGTGTTTGTGTGTGTGTGTGTGTGTGTGTGTGTGAGAGAGAGAGAGAGAGAGAGAGAGAGAGAATTTTTCATGCCAATGAATACAGTGAACAAAATGGAACTTAATTCTGAACAATTATTCTTTAGATCATATTGCACACAGAATTCTTTAAATCACAAAATAAAAAAAAAGGTAGCTTCACTTTAAAGGCTGAATGAATAGCGTACAGCAGGGGTCCCCAACCCCCGGGCCGCAGCCCGTTGGGAATTGGGCCAGACAAACGACATGCAAGTGCATGCAGCTGCATTTGCGCAAGCGGTGCATGCGAAACCATCCCCTCTCCCTGGAGCCCGAAAGATTGGGGACTGTTGTTGTACAGCACAGAATTACTAATTCATTCCTTTTTAAAAGACACAAAATGGTAGATGTAAATAAAACTTAAGATTCACCATGCTTGACCACCCAGCAATATTTCATAAAATATTTTGCTACCAGTAAAAGAATCTTCAAGGAAAAAAATGTAAGAATTTTTATCATTTTTAGATGAAGGCAGTGAGATTTTAAAGTATTTTTTCTGTTCTTAAAATAAATTATTCCATTGCTAATCACACCCAGTTTTGCAAAATTGCAATTTTGTAATAGAAGCTATATTCTAGAGCCTATATACAGCCTGATTATGCTATAAATAATTTCTTTCATATAGCAAACTCTCATGGATGTTCCAGTTGAAAATCTGAGAACATGAAAATTATAGCTATAACTAATTCTCTCAGTACCAGTTTCAAAGTTCTATATATTCTTTTTCAGATAATGGTTAAAAAAAATTACATTGCAGTTGCATATTATTTTATTACCCAACATTAATTCCAACCTTTTAAAAGTAATTTTTCTTTCTGTGTTAAAGAATGTAGTTTCTGGATATGGTGTTCAAATCTCATAAAATAAAATAGATTAAAAAATAATGCCCATCAAATAATGTCCCCACATACTGGATATTGAGGTGAATATGCTAATTTGAATCTTAATTACTTGCTAATGCTAAATTCCGATCTTCTCCCTCCGCTTCCCTCTAGTATCCTCAGCTCAAATAACAGAAACCGACTGCAATATGCCCGTGGTTGTAAAATCCCTCACAAAATGTCCTGAGCGTTCATGGAGCAAAATAAGAGCAAAGAATAACCTGAAGAAAAAAGATGCTGCTCCTCACAATGGGGGACTAGGAAATGATCGTGTAAATAAGGATTTCTTGCCAGTAGAAATCCGTGGGATTCTTGATGATCTTCAGCTGGATTCTGTAGTTCAGGATTCAGAGAGGAGGAATGAAGAATGTCAGAATCAGGAATCGGAACCATCTCCCTTTTCTGTAAGTCACAGTCCAAGCAAAAAAAAATCAGACAAAGTTCCCATCAGTGAAGACACTCAATTTATCTTAAAGAAACGCCACTATGATGCAGATGAAGTGCGCCAGTATATTTTGAGACAGCAAGAGGAAAGGAAGAAGAGACAAAGTGAAGAAAAGAAAGCACAAAAAGAGGCAACAGAGCAAAAAAATAAAAGACTCAAGGAACTTTACAAGAAACAAAAAGAAGCTGTTGCCAGTAAAACAAAGATAACATCAACATCTGAAACGGTCACTAAACAGTTACAAGAAACTTATTCTAAATTGTTCTTGGAACAAACATTGCTGGAGAATCCAGCACTCTCTGTGCAAGAAGTTCAGGTATCTTGATAAGAGTTGGAATAGTTTCTGTATTTTTTCCATGTTGCTTTTTAAGAAATGCACACAATAAGTAGAAATAGCTGTTATTTATTCATTTGTTGCATTTACAACATGCCATTTCCTTGATATTAACACCTGGGTATTTTTTCTGAGATCTGAAGGTGAGATATATCACATTAGCTAGGGTTTAGGTTTTATCCGCTTAATACTATTAAACTTCTTGAGGTAATTCAAGCTAAAAGAGACTAGTCAGAGTTATCTATTAAATTTCACGGTTGCCTAAAGACTGAATCAGGAACAGGGTAAGTAAGAATAGCATTAGCAACATGTATAAGAATTGCCAACAGCTCTTGTAGTCTGCAACTGTAGTATAATATACAATTTTTAGCATAGTGTAAGATGTGAATAGACATTAGCCACATTAAAGCGTTTTTAAAAAATGCAGACAGGCGCAAAATAGATAAGGGCTCTGTATTCTTTCCTGGTCGTCAACATGTGTTAATCCTAGCTGCTCCTGCTCCTTCCACATTAAGGAAATGTCTGAAGATTCATTCTAGATATGTTTAGTTGAACACATTTAGAAACCATCATGTCGCCGGAAGCCTTGATTATACAACTGTAATACTCATGGAGTATAAGCCTTGGCTAGTTATTCGAGTTATTATATAGTTGTTACTTTATTTAATTATATTGAAAAGATTCATGTTCAACTCCTCAGTCATGAAAGTCATGAGATAGTATAGTTCATAGTCCAGTACATTATTGATTCAATTTGCCCTTATTGTGTTTTATACATGTCAATTTTTCTTCCTAGTCCAAACCTGGATATCAACCATCTGGAGAATCTGATAAAGAGAACAAGGCTCAGGAGCGTCCTGTTAGTGCATCATCCAGTAGCGATATGTCTCTGTCTGAGCCTCCTCATCCTCTTGTAAGGTAAGAAAGTAAGAAGTTATTCAGGGCTAGGAAAGTGGAACACGCTAGACATATGATTTTATATATGATTTAGCTGTACAACTTTTGTAGCAGCTGAGAATTTTGAAATATTTTTTCCAAAGCTTTTGAAAATATATTTATTAAAATTCAATGGTCGTAAAATTCTTAAATATGTCATGAAAAGCAAGATGCTTCTTCATGGATCATTATAAGACAGGGATAATTCCTTCTGTATATTCAAGGCTATGTCTGTACCAAGATTCTGCAGGAATGCAAATGAATAGTACAAGATTATATTGTATGAAGAATTCAGATTCACTTTAAAACATTCAAATTTGGGGCAAGTAATATGTTTGATGTTTATACTGGGTTTTTTCAGATTTTAGTTAACTTTATGTATATTTTATTAATTTTTACAGTAACAATCTTTAGTATTTAGTAAGCAACACATCTGGGTTTATGTGTTTGACATTAATAGTAATACAGTATCCATTCCTACCCTTTATTCCATTTTCTAACCATTTATAAAAAAATTCCCATGTTTGAAAGTATTCTGAATCTTGCTTCCCCTTCATTTTCAATGTGAGCCTATCCATTTCTGCACAGCCCAAAATTTTCTTTATTATGTCTTCTCCAGATGGTATTTCTTCATTTTTCCAGTATTGAGCAAATGTAATTCTCGCTGCTGTTAATATATGTAATATTAAGTATACACATTTTTATCATAATTTTCTGAGATTATATCTAAAAGAAATAATTCCGGTTTATAGTCTACATGTGCTCCTATCATCTTTTCTAGCCACCTATGTATTTTTGACCAATAGTTCTTTGCTTTAGGGCATGTCCACCAAAGATACGTGCCTGGATTTTGTCTGCATTTTCAACTATTGCTAGATATATTTTTAAACATTTTTGCTAGTCTTGTAGGTGGTAAATGCCATCTATAGAACATTTTATATAAATTTTCTTTATAAGTAGCTGGCCTTGTTATTTTGTAGTTTCTTTCCCATAAATTTTGCCTTTTTTCTAACTCTACATTGTGCCCAAAGTTTTTTGCCCAAGTTATCATTGTTTCTTTAGCTTGTTCATCTTCCATCTTTAAATTTAACAGAAAGCTGTACAGTTTCTTAATCAATTTGTCATCTGATGACAATAGTATCTGGTCTAACGCTGCCTGTCTAACCGTATATTTTTGCATCTTTCTCATATCTCATTTGCATTTGCAGATATGGCCACCATGCTAGCTCAATGCCTTGTTCTTCCAATTCTCATTTAGTTTGTAGCTTCCCATCAGTATTCAAGATATCTTTATAAGTCACACATTTCTCATAATTAATTAAGTTTGGGTATATGAACGCCTCCATTGTCAAAATCCATCCTGGTATTTTCATGTAAGTTCTTGATTTTACCTTTTCCCATGTCAAGAGCAGTGCATTTCTTACATAGTGGTTTTGAAAGTATTTGTGACTTTTGTTCTTCCCATACCATAGAAAAGCATGCCATCCAAGTTGTAGGTATAATAGTCTTTTATTTTTAAGAGTTATCCATTCTTTTAACCATGTTAGTGGGGTTGCTTGATAATACAAGACCCAGTCTGGTAGCCTAAAGCCTCCATTTTCTTTTGCTTCTTATAACATTTTCAGTCTGATTCTAGCTTTTTTCCCTTGCCAGATAAATTTCAATATCGATGTATTTAATTCATCGAATTTTTTTTTGTCAATTTTTATCGGTATTATTTGAAATAAAGTAGTTTTGGTAAGATGTTCATTTTCACAGTCACTATTCTTCCCAAGATTCATAGTTGTAGATTTTTCCATTTTTCCAAGTCTAGTTTTATTTGTTTTAATAATTTTACATAATTATCTTCTTTTATTGTTGCACACCTTGCTGTTAGATATATCCCCAGGTATTTAACTTTCTTAACTACTTGAAGGTCTGTTTTTTCTGCTAATTTTTTTTGTTTATCTGTGAGGTTTTTAACTATAACTTTAGTCTTTTCTCTATTGATTTTCAGTCCTGCTAATTCTCCAAATTCTTCAATCTTTGCTAATATTAGGATTTGTCTCTAACGGATCCTCCAACATAAATACCAAGTCATCTGCAAATGCTTGTAGTTTGTACTTTTCATCTTTTATCTCCATTCCTTTGATTGGATCCTGTCTAACATTCCTGTTCAACACTTCCAGAGTTAAGATAAATAATAGTGGGGATAATGGACACCCTTGTCTTGTGCCTTTTTTAATATTGAAACTCTCCGTGAAATCTCCATTTACAATTATTTTGGCCATTTGTCTATGATAAATTGTTTGGATTATATTCATAAAATTTTCTCCAAAGTCCATATAGTTGTTGAATCATAATTGCCAATTGACATTATCAAAGGCTTTCTGTGTGTCTAAAAAAATCAAAGCCATTTGTTTCCTGGGTGCATTTTGTAATATTCCAATGTGTCTAAAATTATTCTTAAATTATTCTTTATTTGTCTCTTTGAATGTATAAATTCAATCTAGAATCTCTTTAGTCTTTCTGCTATTATTGAAGCAAAGATTTGATAACCCACATTTAGTAGAGATATTGGTCTGTAGTTCTTTATCAGGGTCAAGTCTGAGTCTTCTTTGGGTATTAGCATAATATTGGCATCTATCCACGTATTTGGTAATTTGGCTTTTAGTAATACCTCGTTACACACTTTTTGCATTGGTAAAATTAATGTATCTTGTAAATATTTGTAGAATTGTGCCGGTAGCCCATCTAGGCCTGGTGTCTTATCATTTTTTTGTCTTTTTATACTCTACTGTTGTTAAACCTTATTTAAATGTTAAATTAATGTATGGGCTGTTAGTGGTCTTGATAGTGGATGGAGTGTTTAGTTAGTTGGGCAGGAACGGTGAAGAGAATTGGAGGAAAACAAGAACCCAATAATCCACAAATCTATCTGAGAGTCTTTACACTTGGGGTGGGCTATTTGTGTGTCTCAAAACTCTTTTCCAAAGACCCCTTAAACTATAGTGCCAAAGATCAATTTCCCATCATTTTTAGATAAGTGAAAAATAGAGTGTCAATAAAAACCAAATCCAGTTTTAAAAAATTAAGGAACTTCCTCCCCAAAAGAACAACTAATCAACAATCCACATAATTTTCATTGCCCTCTTCACTGAAGCCATTCCTCCAAAATACTTATACCCTTGGCCACCATTAATTCTTACTACAGATGACTATTTTATAATTAAATGTCTAAACTTTATTTCTGTAAACTGATGACAATTCAATGGATTATTTACAGGGATAATACACTGGAGCCTTTAAGGATTCATCCAGAGAAGCTGAATTCAGTAGCACAGGTTCCTTGCTCAAAATCTGTTTTGAATGGAGCTCTTTTCTCTCAGCTTTTATCTTTGGATAACATGGGTATCTTGCAAAAGGATTTTGAATCCGTAACATCAAGCAGGAGGAGCCATAACACAGCTATGGGATCCATGTCTTCGACTCCTCAGCCATTTATGTCATCTACTGTACAACCCACCATTAATCATTATAAACATAAATTAGACCGCATTGAAGCCCTAAAGGCAACTGCAGCTTCTCTTTCAAACAGAATCGAAAGTGAAGCCAAAAAGTTAGCTGGGGCTGGCATTAACTATGAAGCAGCATGGGATACCGAACGTGACTTGTTGCAAAGAGATCAAGGTGATACCTGCTGGGCAAAAGCCAGCAGCCCTCCTGTGAGAGAAGATGATGTCTTTTCAGCTAGGCTTCAGAAAATGTTGGCAACCTGCAACTCACATACAACTTTTGATGATAACCTTCCCGGAGTGGGAAATCTTAATGAGTTTAAAAAGCTTCCAGAGATGATTAGTCCTCATACAGGTGCTCTCGGTCTTCCAGGCAATAATACATCTGAAGGAATATTAGGAAACCTGTCTCAAAAGCAAGCATGCCCTGCTGGGCCTGAAAACAAACCTGCAGTTCTGAATGATAGTGGGAGTTCCTTAAGTGAAGGTCTACTCAGCACTGGCTTTCTCTCTGAGGAAGAAGGTGAAAAATCTAATAATCCATCTTTGAAGATTGCTGAGGCGTTAAATGAAAAAGAGTTCTGTGTTGCAGATAAAACTGGTTTTGAACCCATAAAAGAATTTCAAAAGGAGGCAGAAAATTATTTACCTATTTTCACACAGATTAGGAATGGTCCAAAACCATGGGAAGAACTTGTCAAGGGAAGTCCGCATAGCGTCATCAATATCTTTACAAAATCGTATCAGTTGTGTGGGAAAGGTGAGCAAATGCAAACCTTTTGATATCTCTGATCTTTTGTTAGGTAAACAATTAAATGAATATGTGTTGAAATCCTGTGTTCTGTATGTAATACCTGAGCCTAGTTTCACTGATATCAGTACCTGCTGATATGTACAACATTTTTAATTTGTTTTGGAAATGTTGGCTGCTATACTTTTTTGGAATGAAGTCAAATCATTTGTTAAAAAGTTCCACCTCTTTGCATTGCTAGAGAAAGAATCTTTCTTAGTTCTACGTATGGCCATTTAGAATTTTCCGAGTTGTTTTGTATGATTGATCTTTGGATCATGATCATTTTACCTATTTGCATACTCTGTGTTAAACTTTTTGTTGAAATGTAAATTCTTCTGAAATATTGGTTGTATTTCATTTTCCTCCTTCTGCCAGAATCTGAAGAACATGCAGGGCAGGGATCATCAACACATCGACCTTTACTTCCTGCCATGAGCCCTCCAGATAGTATTGCTTCCTATGAGGATGAGTTCATCTCATCACAAGGAAGTGGTACATCAATGGACAAAAAGTCTACACCTGAGCACAGGTATATATTTTTCAAACGGGTAATGAAGCTATAAAATAAGAGGTGAAAAGTTATTTTCATTGGATAATATGTGGTTTTATATATAAGTGTATAATAGCTAATGTCTCAATAGTCTTAGTCTAGTATTCTTTAATGATACAAATTGCTGTCTGAAAATTCTGAATTCTCAGCTTTAAAATTTTGGTATTTCAACATTTTTGTTAGGATGTTTTAAATTGGGACTGCTACAGGTAGACCTTGACTTACAGCCACCTTTTTAGCAACCATTCTACAATAATGACTGCCTTGGAATGGATGCCTTATGACTCATAAAGCACTTCTGGCCATCGTAAAACATTGCACTCCCCTTGGGTCACATGATCACATTTTGGGCTGTTGGTAATAAGTTGCCAAGTGCCTGGCAATCATGTGATCATCATTTGCAATCTTCTCCGTCGGCTTCCGGAGAAAGCCATTGGAGAAGCAGGCTGGGGAGACTTCAAGCGGAGGGGACGTAGGATTTGAGGTCAGTTTCCCTAGTGCACCAAGGGATTTCTCCTCCTTTCCGTGCAAAGAGAGGAAATCTTCCTGCACACTGGAGGAATGGAGTTCAAATCCAGTGGGAATGGTAGTGAACACAGCGAACGCCTGTGGAGATTCTCAGTCATCCAGGTCATAGTTGTTTCGAAGATGCTTTTATCAAAAGGCAGTTGGACTGTTTTTCCCCCCTTGAGGAAGAAGAAGAAAATGTTTCACTTCTCATCCAAGAAGCTTCATCAGTTGTGATGATGGGGGGATGGAAGGATAGGTAGTGAACACAGCAGTCTCATGATTGTTCTTGCTGATGGGGTGAGGAGAGGGCCCAGACCTCCTGGATAAGGTGGGAGGCCTGGGCCGTCTCACTGCCTTATCATGCCCTGGAGGCCGCAGCCCTCTCCCTGATGCTCTGCTTAACAACCAAAATCATCCTTTAATGATCACAACTGAGAAAGCTGAAATTGCAGTCATTGAGCAAAGCAGTCATATTTAATAACCATTTCACTCAACAACCGAGATTCCAGGCCCAATTGTGGTGGTAAATGGAAGCCTATTTGTATACAATTTATATAAATATGGCATCATGAAATTCCAGTATAAAAACCTTTTTTGAGGATTCTGGAGCATGAGAACTCACACTTAAAGAAATAGAAACTAGTACATGCTTTCTACCAGATTAAAGTATGCAGTTTTTTTTTTTTATCTTGAACAGTTCCTGAAATGGTATAAAATTCAGAATTTTTATATTTTAAAAGCAGTTAAGAGATTTGGCATGATATTATAAGAGATTATTAATATAAATTTATAAAAACCTGGAGGCCACAAGATAATGAATGGCAGATCACCAGAGAGCACTTTTCTCTGAAGTGTGTAAATGGCATCTGCCAGGACTCTCTGTAGAACTGGGGCACAGAATTCTTCCCTCAGTGTGACTGTGAGGGTTCCACGTCAAATTGTAGATCACATTGTGACCTCCTGTAAGCTGAGGGCATATACCAGTCCATTATCTGATATTTTTTAATATAAATGATGCGCCTCAGTGGTTAGATGACCTAGACCAGGGGTAGTCAACCTTGGCTCTTTTATGACTCGTGGACTTCAATTCCCAGAATTGGGAATTGAAGTCCACGAGTCATAAAAGAGCCAAGGTTGACTACCCCTGACCTAGACATTGGTATTTGAACATAGATCTTTTTAACATTTATATTTTATTGCGTTTTACTAATCTAGATGAAATGTTAATATATTGTTAGTCTGTATATGATATGCCATGCGCTACATAAATAAATCCAAAGTGCTTTCTAAGCAGGCTTATTAGTTTGAAAATTATACTGAGGGCAAAGCAACCTCTAGGTTCAAGACCCCTGAGTATTCTTTTGTTTTTTATCATATTGGGTTTGCCTTTCAAAAAAGGAATGATCATGTTCGGAAAACACAAAGCTTCTCTACAAAACAGATCATCTGACCTGACCCTTACTCTAATAAATATGCAGAGACAAATGCAGGACTGTGAGGCTATGGTTAGGAGAATATTGTAAGGAAGGCCTTTTATAAACACAAAGCAACAGGCTAGAAAGAAAAGAGACGATGGACTGTGATTGCTATTCTAGTATAGCTATGCTGGGAGAAGGAGCTTCAAAAGCAATTTACAGCCTGCTAGTGTTTTGTAAGATGTCAGGAAAAGTAAGCAAGGCCATTCTTCTTCTTGAAATACTGGTTTTAAATTTTATTGTAAATTTCCATTGTATACAATTAATTCTTTTTTATACATTTTATTGTAAAGTTCATTTTATATATAAATTAAATTTAACAGATAAAAGTAACTGGTACATTTATTTCTTATTAAACTCTAAACTAAATCATTAGTTTTATTCATGGTGGGGGTTCCATAAATTATGTTTCCATTTTAGGGGAGTTTACAGTATCAAAGATTTTGAAAATTCCCTGTGTAAAGAAATTAATTAGCCATAATTATATTTATTCACAAAGTCTAGATGGATATCACCATGGAGATAAAAATATTAACGATGTGTAATTCTGTGCTTGCATTGGCAGCGGCACAAGTAGTACCAGCCTGAAAGGAGAGCTTGCCAGTAAAAAATTGCCTTATGGACACCAAACTATGGAATTAACCCATCATTCCTCAAGATCGCCATCTTCAGGTTCTTCTCGTGCATCCACATCTTCTAAAAGAAGAGGAAGAAAAGAAAGTAAGAGCTTTTCAGCTGTTTGTTTATTACAGAGATAAGTTTGCTGCCCAGTTCACCAGTTCATCATAATACACATAACATCAAAAAGACTTTTCAGGCCAGCACCAATTGCAAAGATTAATTTAAGTCAATTATTAAGGGACCCTTAAGGTAATTTTAGTATTTTTTGAGAATCCTACCACATTCCAGACATCCAACATCACAGATTTTGAATAAAATTTGGAACGATTATTAAAATCACCATAAGCAATCAGAGGAACATTATCCAGTTACTATTTTTTGTTTCTAATGTTACTACCATTGTATAATATTAGGGGTTTGATAAAATGCATTGTTAAATTTCACTTTTTGTTTGTTGTTGTATGAAGAGTTTTATCATGATTTGAACCATAATCCAGTACAAATACATAGGACAATTTGTTCAGCAATCTTTCAAATGATCATAGTGCTGAACCAAAGGTCCTATGATCCGTGCCCAAAGTTATGGCTGTTGTAGCAGCCACATGATCAAAATTCAGGCACTTGACAGCCCACCTGCACTTACAACTGCAAGGGTGCTGCAATTCCCCCCACTCACCTATCTCCCTCCACTTATGCTTTTTTGGCCCCCTGCCATCCTGCACTTCACAGTCCCACCTGACCTTTTCT